GCATCTTTGACGCTAATCAGGTCGCAAAGCGGGTCCACGGCAGGCACCGGGTCCAAAAGAGGCTCATTATGAGACAAACTCTGCTTGTACGCGCGAGGTCGCCAGAACGCCTTCTACGTCTGTTGGCCCGGGTGGCTCGCCTTATACTAGGCCGGGTAGGGGGGACGCCGGCTAAGCCTCAATCGGTGTCGCTTCTTCCTGGTCACCACTGTGCAGGACTGAGCTGAGGTTTCCGAGGAAGGGGCAAGGTCGGCCAATTAAAGGAAGTTGGGGGAAGGGGGCGAGGCTGAAGACCAGGAAGTAGAGATTGGGTATTAGAGGTCTTCTACTTCGAGCCAAACTGTTTGTGGAATCCTAGCAGGTCAAGGACTTCCAATAAAAGTTGGATAGAGCCCAAAGGAAGAGACTCTAGGGGAATCCTGTGAATCGAAACTAGAAATTTGCAGGCTACCGCCACTCTCCGAAAGGTTTCGGGTGACCACGCATGAAGTGGGATGCGGTTTAGAGTAAGCCAAATTCTTTGTTTCTTGAAGGAGACTTCTTTAGGTGACCATGCCCGAAGTAAACATGAGGCTCCTTTAAAAGAGGAGCTAATGGATTCCTGTAAGGCTAGCTAGGCTTCCGCAAGTGATGGAAAGGAGAAGAGAAAGTCTCCACTTGAAAGACGTTTGTAGGTTAAGTTCGACTCCTTCCAAAGTCTTCTGGCCCAACTTTCTATCCCTCTCAGATCATCCCGTCTAGGTTTAAAATTCCAACTAATGACGCTAGAAGTTTTGACTGTGTTTCGCGGTCTCCTCAGGAGGAATGGAGATACAGAAAGGTAGGTAGGGGGATAAAACCGAGGAACAAGAGGAACTGCTAGGAGGCAAGGAGGAGGTTGAGGAAGCAGAGCAAGTAGGGGAAGCAGTGGTCGAAGGTTTGGAGAAGCTGCAACCTGTGCAAATGAGGCTATGTAAATGTGGTCCAGAGGTGGAGGAGTCTTTGAATGGAGTTATAGGAGATGGGTTTTAGGGTACAAGTTGTAGATGTTATTCCAACTGAAGGGGGGGAAGCGGTGACGATTGCTGGTTCTCATGTCTGAGATTCTTGAGGTTTCTTTTTATTCATTAAACTTTGCGACAAAAGGGAGAGAAAAAAGGGCAAAAAAGCATTTACTGAAAGAACGGGTCAAAAAACTCTTGTATATCGCAATACTATGTTTTCAAAATATATAGGATCATTCCCCTACAAATAATTTTAAAAAAAATATAATATTTTTGCAACAATCAATACTTAAAATTCCATGTATTCCATAATATTTTTGCAATCATTCTACCACAAAGCAATAATGAGGTTAATGTTGAACCCAAGACTAGTTGAAGCGTGTCACCATTTTCCACAACAGAATTTGTCTTTGAATTCCAAATAACTCAGATGGATATTCCTCAAAAGTGGAAGCAAGATTCCCTGATGATTGAATCACAGTTAGGTGCACCTATGACCCCTAGATTTGATGATGTAGATTCCTAAATTTAAAGAACATAAGGATTTACAAGATTTCAATAACTATGATTAAGAAGCTTGGCTTGTAAGCTTCCACTATTATTTTCAATTGAATTTTCTTTTTTATTTTTTGAGAGAAGGTTAACATTTTCAATTGAATTTACACTTTTCTTTTTTTTTTTTGAAGAAATGTTAACGAATTGAATTTTCATTTTCTATTTCTTTTTGCATATTCTCCACGACAATACCTACTAAGGCAATTTCAAGGCATTTTGAATTATTTTGCTACTTTCAATATCAAATCTTACTCTAGAATAGAGTTACAAGAAGAGTTTCAAATTTTATTAAGAGTATTGTAGGGCTTATGTTGCTTACTTAGGTCTCCGGTTATAGCATTAGGAAACAAGTTGCTTATAAACAAGGTGTTTGGGGCCATTATAGAGGAGATTGAATTTTTATTGGAATCAAATTGGAACTTCTGAGTACTTTTAGCTTTAAAGTCAATTAATGGTTGCCTTTGTTTTATGAAGTATAGCTCAATAAATGGTTGTTATGCTCGCCTCTTTGGAATTAATTTCTTGTGCCACGCGATTCTCTGCATCAAATGGTATTGGAGCAAGGAGTTGCAACAATTGATGCTCAAGAGCTCAAGGTTCCAAGAAGACAATTGAATTAAATTAAATTCTCCACATGGAAATATGTTACCATAGTTTTGAGGATCTTTTCCCCTTTTCTATTAGAGTATGACCTCCATTTGTTTTTAAAGAACTTGATCTTTCTGTTGGAACCACACTACCTGTGCCACCAAGTAGATCATCAGCCTTTCTCGCTTTTCAATTTGCAGATGTGAGTTTCCGATCCAAGTATATTGTCATTCATGCTCAGACCTTGCAGATCCGAGTAACTCTTGCGAGTCTGAGTGGACTCACCCAAGGCCACAAAAGGCTCAGGAACATAAAAAAAAATTAGGGAAATTCCCTAAAAATCAAAAAATTAATTGAAGCAATAGAGAATTATACAGGAACTAAGGAAGATATATAAACCCCCTATCTTGAATTTTCTACACGTAAGTCCCCCAATAATTTTTTATTCACTCTATAAACCTTGTTAATGTTTTCCTTTGCATTCAGCTCAGGTGAATTTTTATGTTTTAGGTCATTGTGGATGAAAATGCCCCTCTAAGTCAAACACAAAAACTTTTAAGTTTTAGGTTGGTTCAACCTAGGGAAAGTTCTTGGAGAGGAGGTCGGTCCAGCCCTCCAAACATGTTACCCAACCTTTGTCTCTCTATATTCGTTTCTACTCTTTTTCTCTCTCTTCTTCTTGTTTAAGGCTTTTGGATGATGAAAATAGAGTCCTTTCACGCAATTGCACTACACCTATATTGCTGCTTTGGCAAGGTGAGAATGAAAAGGTCAGAGCAGCTGGTGTGTGTGTGAGAGAGAGAGAGAGAGAGAGAGAGAGAGAGAATTGAAAAATGGGGGCCGGGTTTTTGCCCCCTTTTTAACAATTTCGTTTCAGGAACAGTTCTTACACGAGCACCATATGGACTTGCTGAGTACTGCAGAATTCGATAGAGTTTTCCCCAGTTCTATATTACTCGGGCAAGCCTGTACAGCACCCACCTGAGTACTGTACAGGTGCTTTGGCCTTAAGTATGTAGCTTGGTAATCACCTTGGCTTAGGCCGAGTAACTCAGCCAAGTCCAAATCGACTCGGTCTCGTCCGGGTCGAACAGTACATCCAAGTGGCAATTTTCACCGGGGACTTCATTCACAAGAATCTGTAATGCAATCATAGACCTCTCCAAATCAACATGATCTCTGCGTGTTTCTACAATGGAAGTGTCATCACCATCCTATTGCTGTTGACAAGTGATGATCATCAGAAACTACAAATGAGACTTCCCAATTTGTTATTGAACTCTAATCAGAAACAACACATGAGACTTCCCAAATTGTTATTGAACTAATCGCTAAACATACCACTTCAATCTCCTCTTCGATGAGAAATAATGCATCTGAAATACCTGCAATCCTTTTCACTCTTTTAGTCATTTGGACTTCCCAATTACAGCATCTTCTTTAGCTCATGATAAGTGATCGTAACCTTGCAAGTTTACAACCCAAAAAATATATATAACATCATGAGGTTTGGTCGCTTTGCAAACAGTATGCCAATTCATTGACATGCATAGTGAAACAACGTCAGGTCCATTTATGGATTTTTGGACCAACATGGAATGTAAGCACACTCAATCATGCCGGATTAGAGATACAATTGTTGCACAAGACCCTTGAGACCCCGAGTTGCACGATCATTGATGGATTTTACTCGAGAGATGCATCAATTGATGGATCTTGCAATCCATTGAGCTACCAAAACTTGGAGGTGCATTGGATGAGTATGACGACATGTGATTTGTGCCAACCACTATGCACCCAAGGAGGCCTTTATTCGGTTTAACCAGATCTATATCTCTCGGTCCATTACAGATTTCAATATATTCAACATTTCATTGTATTTTGTGTTTAAAACTTTAAATTTATGTGCTGCTTTTTGTTTTAATAAATCAGCCCATGCCAAATAGCAGCCATCCAGAATTGGGGCTTGCGATTCTCACCCAGCCAATCCAATGATCTGTAACACTTACAATAGGCCATGGTCATATGCTCAATGTCACCAAAATCGAAACAATGTGGCTACAAGAGAAACTACATGGACTGGCCAACCCAGTCCAGCTTTAAGAACATTTTTCCAGACCTTCCTCATGTGGATCAAGTTACTAACGACCCCAAGCCTCGCAAGAGGCAAATCTCTGAAAGAAGCATGCATGCCTCTCTACTAATTTTTCCCCAAATGAGATCATATAATTTTCTATTCAGAGACTGAATACAATATGACTATGAAATAATACACAGAGAGTTTACTAACAGTTTTGTCACAAAAAGTTTTCACACGTATAGATCTTAGAAATATCATTCTAAGTAGATTGCAACCATATAAGCATGTTGCAAGCTCCACATAATTGAGATTTTAGAAATATCATTCTAAGGAGATTGCAGCATACAAACATGTTGCAAGCTCCGCACAATTCCACAAAAGAATACCAAACCTCTCACACGTGCACTTCATCCTCAAGCTCCACATTATTTAACAAAAACAGGCTAATATAGTTTTTGACTTACCATTAGATATAGACAACAACTATATATTCCCCCGATTTTCGACGCACCCAAATCAGAAAACGAAAACCAATAACTCATCACAATCTCTGATGTCTTTCAAAGAAATTGCTTTGCAGATCAACCCTCAGTAGATATTTACATAAAGGCATAGCATCAAGCAAACATGAAACAATTACATCACAAAACATAATAATTCCACCATAAATTGAAATGAAAATCCGAAAAGCATATTAAAAACAAGGAAATCGATATAAAGGAAAACAAGATGAAATTTTCAGTGTACAACCAAATAAAAAGCAAAAACCATTAAAAAAGCTGAATCTTTCCTACCTCGACTATCTGCAAAATTCGAATGGTAATGCAACCTATTGGCCTCAAGCATCCTCGAAACCTCCTGCCCACTCTCAGAAGCCTTAAGAAATAAGTCATCAAGCTGATGCAAAATCCTGAACAAAGTCCTTCCAGCCTCTTTTCCCTTCCTCCCATCCCCAGCAACTGCGAGCTCCATACTCTGTCCCTTCTCTGAAACCGTCGCTGCCTCCTCACTCTTACTCCTCTCCACCTCCACCCTTTCTCGCTCCTCCTCCACTCTCTCTCTGTCCTCTCTCTCTGACTCCCTCTCTCTCTCTGACTCCCTCTTTCTCTCCTCACCCACCTGCCTGATCTCATCAATGGCTGGGCCAGCAGGTGTTTGAGTATCAAAGATGTAATCGATATAGCTCGAAGACGAAGGAAGTGGCTCTCTCTGTTGAACAGAAGAAGCAGGAGGTGGCTCTCTCTGTTGAACGGAAGAAGCAGGAGGTGGAGGGGGAGGGCGAGGTGCCCCCTCTGCTTCTTCCCCATCTTCTTCCTCTGGAATCGTCTCACTACTTTGAGAAACTGACGTTTTAGAGAGAGGAATAGCAGGCAGGCTCGCTGATCGAATCAGAGGTGAGTGAGAAGGAAAGGTAGGAGGAGGAGGAGGAGGAGGAAGGACCTTGTCTTTTACAGGGTTTATTATGTTTGAACCAGAGGCTGGGTCCTCTTGTGATTCACCATGAGCATAATCACTCAGAGCCGCTCCTGTGTTTTTTAGGGTAAATATGTAAGAGCTATGAGCAGCTGCAAAGCCGTTTCTCGCTGTTACTGCTTCTTTCATGTGTTGCTTTCGCTCTTTGCATCTCCCGACCGATTCTTCATTCTCAATCTTCGACTGTGTGCATCCCATGGCTACGAGGGGAGGGATTCAGAGTTAGGGTTTCTAATGCAAGTCGAGAAATTGAAATCAAGAGTATTTACAGGGGAAAATCATGGAGCTCTGGTTCAAATCTAGGGCTTTCCATGAAAACTAAATTAACGGTTGGCTCAGGTCGATCTAGGGTTTGTTACTGCCTAAGAGGGATCGAAATCTGGGGTATATCCTGATTATACAGAAAAAAAAATGGGTTTTCAGTCTAGTGTTTCAGCTGCATAATAAGACCAAGATGACTGAGAAACCCAGGGCTTCTTGAACTGAGAAGATCATTAAAGTTATCAGATTATGAGGAATGCAGGGTTTGCAGTGAAAAAGTAAATAAAAAATTAGGGTTTCTATTTGCAATGGTGAAGTTTTAAATTAGGGCAGTGTAAAGCCAGTAACTTTGGATAGATTGTACATGAAATACAGAGCCTTTACTACGAAGAAATTTTAGGGTTTTTACGTACGCAGCGCAGAGAATCTCGGCAAATGTTTGAACTTTACAGGAGTGGGGCCCAATGGGAAAAGGCGGAAAAAGACGACGGTTTGGCATCTTTGAGTTTTCGGTCAAGGGTTACTGATTAAAGCATTGGGAAAGGTTTATATAGAGCCGAGGCTCTAAACAATCAAATTAGAGCCTACCTTCGAACGGTATAAAAAAAACGTGGTTTTAATACGAATAATATTTGTGATAGTATTAAAATATATTTTTATACTTATTTATAATTTTTAAAATTTGAAAAATAGTGTAGATCGACATATCTATAAAAATTTGAAAATCTTGAAAATTGATGATCTAAGTTACAAAATAAACTATTTTCAAAACTTGAAATCCATTTTTTTCTCATATTCATGAACCTTAACGTCGAGTTATCGATTTGAAAATATTTGAGCATTAAAACCTCTTCTAGTGAACTTTTTTAAGTAGGCTCAAATTTAATTGTTTAAAGCCTCGGCTCTTTATAAACTTTTCCCCGTAAAAATATATGATTCCCACTTTGGTTCATGCCAAGTGGCATAGTGAAAAGCTCGACGAATATTAATAACGTATATGATACTTGATGAAATGATTAAATGTCGTTTGTGATTTTAAATACTTGATGAAAGTGATTAAATTTCATTCAATTTAAATTACTATTTTTTCTTTTAAGTAACTATTGAACGTCCGACTAAAATTGTGGTTTTCATTCCTACCCTTAACACACCACCTCATAAATATATTTTTTAAAAAAAGCTTACTCTTAATTTACTTGAAAAAAACAGTAGACATGTCTTCCATACTGAATTATCTAAAAAATAAAAATAAACATTTTCTTATTTTCAAGGATTTTAATATTCAAAACACATCCCAAGTGGCTGAAACACATTATGGCCCCAAATTCATGAAATCAATGATTCAAAAATAGTAAATACTTAATGATCTTTGAATAATTGAAATAAACTGTCCAAATAAAACGAAAGGACTCCTTTTACATCAACCCAAATTTTTTTTTTTAGATATGGCCGAAATAATAGGCCTATAGAGTTCGTGCATCCAAGCCACATATGTATGTGTATCTCATATGTGTATCACACGCACAAACAAATTTTTTATATGGAGAAAGCTAGCAACAAAATGTCACCTAAAGCGATTTGTAGTTTAAGTTACACTCCCAAGTGTCAAATCTTAATCAAATTGTTGAAAACACATATTATTATTTAAATTTTAATATTTTTATAAATTGGATCAAGATAATTTTTTGTGCATTCATACTATATAATAGGGTGCAAAAGAAAATACAAAACAAATATATTCTAGGACTTAAAATGACCAAACTACACTTGAAATATGTGGGGGCAATTTGGTTATTTTAAATTTTTACAAATATTTTCTACTTTTTTCATGGTATATGATAGTGGAAGTAGATAAACATAAAAGTTCATCTTAATCTGATTTATCGAAAAAAAATTAAAATTCAAATAGTATACATGTTCAACAATTGTTCAACATCTAACTGCTAGAAAACAATTGTTCTAGCATTGCGATATTGACAATGCATGTGCATTATCACCATCCACATACATGGATTCTTACAAGGATGCAAACTTGCTCTTTTCCTTTTTCTTTTTTCTTTTTTTTCTTTTGTTAATGCAAGCATGCAAACTTGCATTTGGTCATGAGTTTATACTCGTAAGTGATTACCCCTTTCCAATAATCTAGTTTAACATGGGACCCCTGTCATATTTACAGGAATTAAAAGTTTGAAAATGGCGCAAATACGGTAAATTATGAACACTTGGGAAAGTGTGTTTATAAAGCGTACTACTTTCAAAACTTTAAATCTTGAACTCATGATTGATGAGGTTAATTAAGATAATAAAAAAAGGTTACGTAACACCTTAAACTGTAGAATTGAGACCCAACTAAAAAATCGATCGCACAAGGTCCAACGCTGGAAAGCTCACCAATTAACCATCTTGACTCCCAGATGTTGGATAAGGAGAAAAAAAAAAAAAAAGACTTCAATCCTTTACAATAATGCATCTTCTAACATATTATTTGGTCCATTCATTTTTAAGATTTTAAGATGTTTACATATATGCTCCATCCCCACTATTTTTGGAGCTTTGAATTTCCTAATTATCGAAATAAATTTTAAGAACATAAAAGAAGTTTCTATACCAAAATTACACTTTTTAATAAGATTTGGAGGTGCAACTTGTTTTGATTGTTTAAGTATTACCTAAAGAGGACACCTTATACAAACCTCACCCCACAATAATTTACATACAGGGATAATCTACAATTTATAACTCCTCAAATTATAATGATTAATGTTAGAGTGAGTATGATTGATGAATATACTAAATATGAGGTGTGTTTTTTTAAAAAAAATTATTTTTCATATTTTGCTTATCAATTAAAGGTATTTGTGTAAATATCATTAAAATACAATATGCATTTTTTTTATTTTTATAACAGGTAAAATTGAAATTATTACTAAAGGACAATGATACTCTATAAATAAAGTTTATCGACACTAACTTTTTGAATGCTATTGTACTTTTATAATAAAAAAATTAAGTTGTCTTTAATGATTAAGTTATCTATTAAAATAAATGTTCATACAAAAAACAATGACTTTTCAATAAATTTTACACCTATCACACCTCACTCTAACATCACCTTTACATTTTAATGTTTTTTCAATATATACACACATCACCCATCTTTTAAAGGGATTGTCTATAAGAAGATCATTTATTTTTTGTACAAGGAGGTCACAACCATTTTAGTCTCTTAAAATTTAAAAAAGGTGGTTGTAAGAGTGTCATAAATAAACACAAAGTTTCAAAAAAAAATTCTCATGATTCACCACAAGCCATTAAATTTGAAATATAATGAGTGAGAATGATTGTGACATCCATATACAAAAGATAAACAATATCTTTGTACATAATCCCATATTTTAAAAGGTTATTAACGGTGGACAAACCTTTATAGATAAATTATTGACATGAGCACTACCTATACCCCACGAGGGGAAAAGTTTATATAGATCCTAGGCCCTAAACAATCAACTTAGAACCTATCTCAAAAATTTTATTAAAAGAAGTTGTTTTGATACCTAAATATACTCAAATTGATCATCTTAATACCAATATACATGTACATGAGAAAAAAATGGATTTCAAATTTTGGAAATTGTAATACATCTTAAGACCGTCAATTTTCAAGGTTTTAAAATGTTTATAGATCTGCTCGATATATAGTATTTTAAAAACTTTAAATTTTATAATGAAAGATGAAAAAATATTTGAAGGCTATCACAAAGATTTTCAATATTGAAACCATATTTCTCAATACTATTTAAAAGTGGACTCTAATTCAATATTGAAACCATATTTCTCAATACTATTTAAAAGTGGACTCTAATTTGATTGTTTAGAGGCTCCACTCTATACAAACCGCACCCTTCCCCAAAGCTTTTAAAAACGTGGGTTTAACGCGGGGGCTCAACGAAATAAGAAAGATAGGTCAAAGCTGGCTCCCATTTGCATGCTACATGCTTTTGCATGCAAGGGGGAACGCGTGCCCTTCGATGTTTGTTTGTTTTAGGGCAGTTTTCCTTAAAACAGTAATCACACTCCCCAGGTGTATCAACTTCCATGACAACTAGCCATTGAGGGGTGCCACTTCACTTGCTCTTTTAAAGGTTGCCTCTCATAAAACTGAAAGATAAGCACAGGGATTGTATATAATGAACAAAACACATTTACTTATTATAACATATGATGAATTCGAGAAAATTTCTTTTGAAGTTTGAACTTGGTCGATAAAATAAATACAGCCACCCAATTTCACATCTAGTGGTCAAGATTAATTGTAAGAATCTTGTACCAAAGGTAGACGGTCTCAATACGTGTGGAGTGCGGTTTGTATAGAGTCGAGGCTCTAGACAATCAAAGTAAAGTGCACCTTCAAATAGTGACAAGAAATGTGGTTTCAATACTGAAAATCTTTGTGATCATCTTAAAATATATTTTAATCTCTAATTATTAAATTTAAAGCTTAAAAAATTGTGTAGATCGAACGGATCTATGAAAACTTGAAAATCTTGAAAATCTTGAAAATTGACGGTCCAAAAATGGTTACAAGATGCACTATTTCCAAAACTTGAAATCCATTTTTTTCTCATGTCCATGCATCTTGATGTCGAGATCATCAATTTGAAGATATTTGGGCATCAAAATAATCTCTTCTAGTGAAATATTTGAGAGGGGCTCTAATTTGATTGTTTAGATCCTCGGCTCTAAATAAACTTTTTCCTTGTATACGTTTCCAGGAAATAAATTATCTGGTTGTGCATCAAGCTAGGAAACGAGGTTCTATAGTTCCCTTCCACTATGATGCCGCCCCCCCCCCCTCAATGGTCATTTGATAACCAATTTTTTTGGCATCAACTGTTAAATTATTCGTAGTGATTTACTAGGAAAGCTATTGTAAGATTGGGAAATTTCTCTATTTATCAAAAAGGACAAATGGAGACTTCTTTTGTCGAGAGACGCCGAGAGATGCGAACTGCCACGCAATACCGACGAATTCTTTCAACAAATGGAAAAATATGAATTTCTCATTTTCAAAGGAACTTTTTTATTTGCCAATTTTACTTTTTCTTAGAAATGAAATCTTATAGAATATTTGAGTGTGTGCACCTCATTTGTGTGCATTAGTAAAAATACAAAGTATAATTTGTAAAAAGATAAATGACCAAATTACCTCAAAATTTTGGATGAGGTTTCTATAAGTGGTAGGCTTTATGAAAACATAGTAAAGCCTCACCTTAAATCCTCGTTCAGAAAGTACTTTCGGCGACGTAAATCTTTATGATAGCTCTAAAATCAATTTCCAACGTTGATAATAAAATTTGAAACTTAAAAAATGGTATAGATATTGCGGAATCTGTGAACACTTATTTTTAAAGCAAAATGGACGGTCTAGACAATTTGCTATTATATACACTATTTTTAAAGTTTGAAATCCTATTTTTTTTCCCCAACCATAATATTCAAGTTGAGATTATTGATATAGAGATTTTCCAATGCTTGACTTGCAATTTCAATGAGTTACGAAGTGAAGATTTACTTATTTTGATACGGCTGCAGCCCTATCAAACCATTTTCCTAAAATTTGTAGGGGTATTTTTTGTTCTTTTATTTTTTAAAATATTTTCTACATTTTTTACGGGCTCTTGAGTGTGAAAAGTATGGATGCCCAAAAAGTTTGCTCAATCTGATGCACAAAAAACAAATATTGAAATACTCAAAGGAGCTCTTGACCATCCAATCAAACCCGGATAATTGATATTGATCGCATTTCACTAATTAATGATAATGTTTTGTGTGATCCAGATAGTCCATTTTGTTAGACATGCAATAGATGAGTTATGACTTTCAAACGTGATCTCGACCATCCAATCAAACCCGGATAGTTGATATTGATAGCATTTCACTAATTAATTATAATGTTTTGTATGATTCAGACAATCCATTTTGTTAAACTTGCAATAGATGAGTTATGATTTTAAAATCTCATTCCTTTAACAAATCTCACCATCTCGTCAATGAAAACTTCAATGAATAGTTAAATTGGATAGTTCACTTTAATGAACCATTAAAACAGACTAAATTCTGTCTCCAGGTTTACAAAATCCTAGTTTAAACCAAAGACTATTTCTTCAATCCCTTTGCTTCTCTCTCTCTCCACCGCACCCCCTCTCTCTAACTTTCTAACTTTCAAAAAGAGGAAAACTCACCTCCTATCTCGAATACATCATCATATAAAGTTTATTTCAATTATTTGGAATTGACTGTGTGAATTATGTTATGTCATTCAACTCTATCAAGGGTTATACTTTAATCAGACTAAAAGTCACCATATATCTTCTCACTACTTTTATTTATGTTATATTAGGCTTTATGCTTATTCTTTTAGAGCCTTCCACTGGAACTAAATCACTAATCCTAATGACATTGTATTAGGTCTACGCTGCAAATGTCTAGCCTGCTTTTCGTCATCGTGTCGTTTATTGAAACCACCCTGTCCACCTCTAAGTTCTTAATTAACGGGGGTAAATCCTTATAACCCACTATTTTCTTTCACTCCCTACTTTTTTATAAGAATACTTCATCAATTTCAACCTATCGCTCCCTCCATTTATTTAGTGTTTGATCCAGAGTACTTCACCCCTTGCTACCTCCCTCTCTCTACATTTTAATCAAGAATTCAAGAATGCTTCAACCCATTTCTCTCTTAATTGTTTAAGGATTCTCGCACTGCAATAACCCTTCTTTTTCTATTTGGATTTGCAGTCACCTCTTTAACCCATCACTCCCTCTGCTTCCTAGTCCCTCGCATCAAACCCACCCATCATTCTCTCTCCAAACTGATCCTTGCGTACCCTTTCTTTCTCTAGTTTCCACTCCACTCCGGGTGAAATAGAGGGCAAATAAAAAAGACGAGTGAACTGAAAAATCGTTGATTAGCCTCCCGAAGTAACTAGCATTGAGATTTTTCATATATTAGAATGTATGGCTTCAAATATTTAAGGAGATTGTATGTAAGGACGTTATTTATTTTTTGTACTTGAGGTCATAACTAGAAAGATTTCTAATCTTGCACTGTCGAGAGAATTAGAATCTTCCCCTACCACATTTCTTAAGTCGAGTTTGTTTATGGCTTCCATCACTGCTGCACTTCCTGCATTTGTTTGCAAGTATGCATTTGTTTGCAAGTATAAGTTGTTTTGAAAGCCGTAACTTTCAAAATAACGTCAAAACAACAAATCTCGGGGAACCCGTCACTTCAGAAGTTCGGTTGCAGTCGAGTTTGTTTATGGCTTCCATCACTGCTGCACTTCCTGCATTTGTTTGCAAGTATAAGTTGTTTTGAAAGCCGTAACTTTCAAAATAACGTCCAAACAACACATCTCGGGGAACCCGTCACTTCAGAAGTTTGGTTGCAGCCCCATCCTCCCTGAAACAACGGGCCTTAGCTTCTTATACCAGTGCCATTTTTCTCCCCTTGGGGGGGGGGGGGGTTTATGAATTGTTTTCTCATTGTCATGGTTGTCATGGTGGCCTAAATGTAATATATTTCTAGCTTCTCCCTGCATAGCTTAGTTCAAAATAAAGAATAGAAAAAAACAGCAAGATTCATCATGATCGTCAGCAAGAAATAAATGCGTAAGGGTGGCATTGGGCTGGGCCCGCCTTGGCTCTGACGCTTCCTTGTGCTCATAGGACCACGCCAGAAACAAATGAAGTAAAAAAAAAAAAAAAAGATCGGACAAAACCCGGCCCTAGCTCTATCCTTGGTCCATAATTTATGGGCCAGCCCGACATTTTTAGGGCAAGGCTGGGTTGGCCCACCCATTGCCAGACCTAAATGGAGAGGCGTTTCCTATATTTACTCTCATGTTTATACGTTACGAATTCGCATGCTTATCCGGTACAAATTCACGGGGACCACATCCCACCCACTCACAGAAGCACAAGGACCTTCCCCATCCCTTTTGCAAGTGCGCCTACGCCTTGCTTCCCCACTTTATCACTCATCACCTTCCTCCCCCTTTCTCACTCATTCGTACCAGACCTCCCCAGGGCCACCCTTTCTCACTCATTCCCTCTGATCTCACTACCAGACCTCCCCAAGGCCAGCTATGGACCAGGTCTTTCTCTCACATATATATGTATAATATATGTATGTTTGCTTCATTATATATATATATGTTTGCTTCATATGAATTTCGAAAGCTTCCACAAAACTTGACCTTATTGATGGTATTATTCAACACAACATTTACACTCGTGGCCTTCGTTTCCATGACTTCAAATGCTCCACAGAATCCCATGAAATGGCTATGAAATGACCCATCTCTCTTCCTGAGCATGTAAAAGAGCATTGTTCGTTGGTTTTCAGCGACTGCCTATTGATTTAACTTGTTAGGGTGGGTTTTGGTTAAACTTCGACCGTTGCTTTAGGAGAGAAGGTCTGAACAGCTTCGGCAACAGTGAGAAAGATGTTGTCTGGGCCGATGGTATCGGTGATCTTTGAGGCGTGGAGCTTGTCGATCACATGTTGTCCTGGATTAGCTAGTGCGAGCTGCATACACAGTTTTTTTTACAGTAAGCTCTGTCATTTCAAGTTATGGTGCATAATTTGGATTTCCCTTTCTCTCTCTCTCTCTCTCTCTATTTATATATATATTTGTATGAATGTATGTCAGGTTTTACAACACGGAGTTGACTCAAATCTGCCCAAGCAACTCGGGCTCGGCAGGTTGCGTTGCCCGAGTCCCCACCCCAGCCCACCAAAAAAAAGAAAAGAACTTGGGGGGAACATAATTAATGATACATTTTATCTGAATAGAACAAGAGCCAATTTTGTGTCTGACTTAATATTTGATTAAATCAATTACAAATGAGCTATATTTAGTTTTGTTTATAGTTTGTCCTTATATTTTTAATCATTCTTTACAAATTTTCCTGTGCTTTTGCATTTTCCTTAGAAAATAAAAGTGATCTTCAATGGTTTTCTTTTTCATTTTTTACTATTTGAAACTTTTCTCCAACAAATTATAAGGGTTTTTCCACATTTTTTACTTTTATTTTGGCCATTTTCGACCTGGGAGCAGTCTCAGGTTAGTCGACTTGGTCTTGCCTGTAACTTGGCCAGGTTCGTGACTGAGTTCTCAAATATTGATGTATATCATTCGAATCGATTTGGTAACTGGGTTTTAGTGATGGAAAAGGATGAGTATGGCATTGTGCTGACCAAAATATGTTGAATTTCTCTCTTGAGAGATATTTATTAATCCAGGTTTTAGTGATAGAGATCTTCCCTGAGGTTTACATATAGAAAATGATGAATATGTCCTTGAATTAGTCAAATAATGGTGAACTTCTCTCCGTTCTTGAAATGGTTAGCTGATGCGGTTTTTGAGGGACAGAAAAATGATGCATATGGCGTTGAACTCACTGAAATGTTCTAAAGTTCTCTTATACATAAAAGATGAGAAAAAATGTCCTTGTTATCTACATGATTTTTGAACTGTTACAATTACTTACCATGTATCGCCAATACTTTTTTAACTAATTTAAGAAAATTGCAGAGTTTGCTTCAAACGAAGATGGCTTCTGCTTCCAATTTTCAAAACTTAAGAACATAATGAGTATCCCTCACAGATTAATTTCATTTTTAATTTATTCATAATTTTTTATTTTTTGATATGTTCAAATCAATACCATTTTTACCTATGATTTTTTGTAGATTGCCAAACATAGGTTTGTGATAATTGATGTCATGGCTTTTCTATTGATTCCTTCTTTTTATATACAGGCATAGCTCAAACGCTTCATAGAGAAGCACGATGTATTGCATAGGTTATCTTCCTAGTTATAAGGTTGATCATAGTCATTTCTCACCTGAATATCTCGCTTTTGCAGGCTGCTATGCAGCTCTTCTAGAGCATGGATACCACTGGTGTCAATGTTGATAACAGCTGCACCAACCAAACTAGCAAATGTCAGGTACTAATAAGAAACGAGGCCCAAAACTCTCTCTCCCTGATTCTATATATATATATATATATATATATATATAGAATATTATTATGGAACTGATACTAGTTTCTTACGTGACATATCCACAACTAAGAATTGGATTCTTGGCAGGCCTTTCCTGTCTAGCTCTTGTGTTTCATCACTCAACCATCGGAGGATTCTGCATTTAGACATTGGAGGTCACTAGTATCTCTCTCCAACCTTTTATTTTGATAATATATACTTCTTTATCAATAAAAGAGAGGGAGAAGATAATTACCTCTCTCTAATATAGTTGGAGTTGGAGAAATAAATAGCTGAGTCCACCCTCAAAATAAGCATTCCAGGAACCTTTGTTGCTTCTGGGTACTGTTCTATGTTCCTATATATGGATGTTCTTGGTATGTTTCCAAGAAGAGCAGTGTGTGGTCGGGTTACATGGAGAAGGATTTTGGCAAAGGACAAAGAGATCTATTCACAGTATCAAATCAGGGTATTTTCTTACTCTTTTGGAAAGAACAGTCTCAAATATCCACTTAATATAAAAAGAATAATAATTTAGAATTTTAGCTACTTACTGCAATCAAGAGGCCAATCTCAACAGAGGAAAATACTACTCCAATAAAAGCTCCCATGCAAGCTACAAAGTCTAGCTTGTCGATTTTCCAGATGAGTAGTGCTGCCTCATAGTCAATAAGGCCAAGAACAGCAGAGATGATAATGGCCGCTAAGATTGCATTTGGGGTGTAATAGAATAAGGGAGTGATTACTTCTAGAGTGAGAAGAACTACTATTGACATAACAATGTTGGAAACTGCAGTTTGACATCCAGCCATGTAGTTCACTGCTGAGCGAGAGAAGGAACCTGCAAAAACCAGAGGTCCCAATGTAAGAATAGAAAACCATAATGTAACCAAACAATATATGCATGCAGAGATACATAGTACATACATGCAAATATGCATCATATATACATGACATAAAGACATACATATACATATACACATCTACATACATAAATGTGTCAATGTAAAAATGAATGAGAGTGGGACCTCCAAAGCAGGACATGACCCCAATTTGCAGGTCCCATTCTCTTTCTATTGCCATCCCTCATTTGAATGGATGATGATTGCCCTATGGACTTATGGTTTTCTCATGGTCCTTGGGATTATGCATTATAGTATACATCCCCTCCTTTATACTTATAAGAGTGTACTTCTCTTTCTATTTTGTTTGCTTACCTGTAGCCACATAACAAGAAGTTAGAGAACCAGTTAAGTTCATCACTCCTAGAGCGAGCATTTCTTTATTCCCATCAAGATGATAATCCTTCATGGATGCAAAAGTCCTTCCAATTGCTATGGCTTCCTGAGAAAGAGGAATATAATATGATCATATGGCCAATTTAAATAAGTGAAGCAAGAATTCATTTAAAGATTAGAACCATGCATACCGTCAGGCCTATCATTCCTGCAATCACACCGATCTTGAATCCTTTTGCTACATTGGGTCCAGAGAAGTAAATTTTGTGTGCCGAAGGTGGGTTGATACCCCTTCTAATTTTTTTAACCTTTTATCCAAACAAAGTAACATGAGTATGTATATCATAAAATTGTCATCTTATTCATGCATAAGTTGGCTTTTATGCTTCTTCCTAGCACAATTAACATAGGGAACTAGTTAAATTCAGGTTTAAGAGCTTACAATTTGTACACCATCCTTGTCGACCCGTGTAAGGTACACGAAAAGAGTGGATAAGATGACTGAAATCAAAGGAGCGATTGCAGAGACCCAGAACAGGCTCTTCTTCTTCTTTCCCTGGACTTACACTCGAAGCAATTAGGATACAAAATCTTATATACAAAATACATACGCGCATAAATACATGCTGTGTCTCACCAAAAGAACAGTGAGATAGACTTCTAATATGAAGAATCACAGCTGACTTCAAATGCACAGTATCCATATTTTTAATAAAGTCATTTTCTCCATGCATACTAGGACATAGGTCCAAGACAAGGAAATATAGTTGTGGATTACTTTTGATATAATAAACAAATTGCAGATTACTTTGATATCATAAACAAATGAGTAATCCATAACCTGTGCCAAATGCTTCTACATGTACATTCTATTTATGTACAAATGTATGCCAGTGTCGTGTTGTAGGTTATATGAATAAGAAAAGTAGATGTCAATGAATGTGTATATATTATTTAAGTGTGATAAGCCCTGTATATCCAACATATCCAAATTGAGCCAAAAATGAAGAGGTTTTTGAACCTACGGGAGAATATGGGTTTTGAACGGGTATTTTCTTTGGTAGATCTATCAATTTCAACCACTTGGAGCTACGCAACTAAGAAGAAGAAGAAATCATGAATCTTACAATGTATCTGGCTAGTAGGAGAAAAGCCAGGAAAACTGATCCTAGAACAACTGTCTGCCAATTCCACTGCACAAAGCATAAAATAACATGGCTCAGTTTGATGGAAATTGATTAAAAAATGGAGGAAGTAGTGCTCAAAATAAACCCAAAATTATAGGGATTTTGTACCCCATGGTGCACATTGCCCCAAACCGAATGCATGACAGAGATTATGTCAGTCTTTTTGGTGAATTTAATGACTCCAAGCAAGCCTTTCAGCTGTTGGAGAGCTATGGTGATGGCTGCTCCACCCATGAACCCAACAATGGCGGCATGAGAGAGAAAGTCAATCAGGAAACCAAGCCTAAAAAATATCAGTGTGAAGATCAGTAATTGTATATTTGAATGTAGAGGATGCCCTTCCTATATGTATTTACAGTCCTAACCATGTGTTGCAGTGAGAAAAAAAAGGTGGCGTTTGAGAACATAGCTCAATTGTGTGTGTGTGTGAGAGAGAGAGACCTCAAGAACCCGAGCGCTGCTTGAGTGACTCCAGCGAAGAATGTTGCAGTGAAAGCGAGACGGCGATACTCAGCTGCATTGTGCACAGGGTCTACCTCATTTTGGAGAAGAGTTCCCAATATAAGAGAGACAACAGCCACTGGTCCAATGGCTATATCCCTTGAACTCCCCATGAAAGCATAAACCAGAGGCGGCACAAAACTTGAATCTGTCAAGATTCCGAAAACCACAACTTAGAGATGAAGTTAGGAGGCCCCAAGTCACTCTCTCTCTATTCAAATTTGACTCAAACCCTCCTCTCTCTCTCTCTCTCTCTTCAAATTTGACTCAAACCCTCCTCTCGCTCTACATGTCTGCTTTCCAATTGAGCTATGATCTTGAACCTATCAGCCCCACGCCCCCCGCTCAAGCCCTCCACTCTCCCTCTTCCCTGAGCAATAGTTTTGAACCCCTCCCCCTTCTCTCTCTCTCTCATATCGGCAATATTTGACAAATTCCCACCTCTGCTCAGTGCATTAGTTTATTGAAAAGAACACTGAGCAATCAGTTACATAAAAAGATCATCCTGTTCCCGAACTATTGCATAAGAAAGATAAACAGTCAGGCCACGTAATAGATTCTATGCTAAGTCAAACAAGCTGACGCACTATGTTCATGATACATGGAGACAGCAGCATGGATGTTCAACAAGCAAACATTGTAAAGGATTAAACAGAGTCCAGTTAAACTTACAGAGCCCATACTGAGGATCCAAATTTGCCAATTTAGCGTACCCAATGTCCTGATTTCAGAGGGAGGGTCAAGATTTAGAAAAAGGTAGCCATAGAATTCGTTCAAGAATGGATTTTGATAATTTCGTATAACTTACCTGAGGTATGCAAAGACTGGCTATGGTCAATCCGGCGATAAGATCACCCTTGAATTTACTCAAACTGTAATATCTTCCCCATTCAAGAATGGGAAAGAGAGCTTGAGAACCCAAAATAAGCTTCTTGGACTTGGATTGGTCCTTGAAATGGCGAAATGGGTTATCTGCAAAGAAGGTTTCCTTGACTGTGGAAGTGAATTCGCTCATGAGCTTGCGTTTCGGAGGCAACCCGACCTTATAAACAGAGGGAATTTCATCTCCATTTTGGTGGAAAGATATCGCTCTGCTAATGTCATGCTCCTCGGCCTCTTGCTTGTCTCTCACAGAGTGTCCCATCTCAAACTTGGGTTATTTAGAGTAGAGAGGAAGAGACTAAAGAGAAGAATACCACCTGCATAAAGGTTAACTGTGTGTTAGCGTATGGATATGATTATAGTAAGATTAGTAAGTAATTTTCAATAATTATTGGTCTCTACTAGCCGTATATTTATACGGATCTTCAATATTTTTTATTAATTAATAAAGAGAGTATTGTGGTTTTAGCGAAATGTAAATGATGGGTGAACTGTATTCTCTCTCTTGCAGGACGAGATTTCTAGAAACCTTGTAGAGGAAAAGTGAAAGACGCAGTTACCCCTATCTCTCTGTGTCGTGTGTTCGCTTTCTATCTGTTTGTTTGCATGTGTGATGTGTTCTCTCTGTGCTTTTTTTGTGTATGTTCTCTCTGTTGTTTCTGTGTCCCTCTCTGCTGTGTGAACGGGAAGGAGAAATCTTGCTACGAAATTGTCTCTTTCCTTTATCAAACCTTAACCCTTAAACCAGAAATCCCCTTTATCAAACCTTAACCCTCAAACCAGAAATCCATGACACAGGTAGGGATATAGATACAGACGAACACTGGAATCCAAACCAAAAACTTACAAAAGAAAAAGCGGGTTAAAGAATTAATGGCTCCAAATTGGCCAAAGCACACAACTGAGAGAGAGAGCTCACTGATTTACTCTGGTTTTGTTCGTGCTGTCTCTATCAAGAATAGCAGCCATAGAAGACAATAAAAGGCTGTTCAAAGAAACCCGTTGTTTCAAAGTTCAAACAATGCTCCTCAGTTTCTTCGTCAGACTTGTGAATATGAACAAAGAGAGAGAGAGAGAGAGACTCTTAATGTGATCAAGAGAGAGAGAGAGAGGCCCCCTTCTTATAGGCAATTTACTGAAAATTCCAAGTCAAACTTCTCATCCGCCTTAGCTACGAACCTACTGCTAATTCTGTCTTGATACAGAATTAAGCTGGCAATCCATGAAAAATTTTAAAAAATCACAAACCCTTCGATTCATAATTAAAACCCATTGACCAAAAATTTTAAGTGATCTTGTACGGGTCAATGGGTTTTTTAAAATGGAAACTTAATTTTTTGGGAGGCAAGCTCAAGCCCATAACCCATTATTGCAAGGAGTTTCTCTATCAGGTCAGCCATTATTAAAAAAAAAAACCAGACATATGTTGACCTGGGGCTACATTTTATCTGAACCACACAAGAAAAAGAGGACTTTAGAGAGAGAAGACAGTCGAGAGAGAAAGGACATATATACCCCATTTTCGAATATGAACTTGAAAAGCGAGATATCGACGTAATTTTTTTTTTTTTCCTCTTAATTGTCAAAGTTCCTGTAATTTTGGAAAATATAAAATTTTTAATAAAAAACGGCGTGGCACTTAGAGAGAGAAAGAGAGAGGGGGAGAGAGAATAAGCATGCAACGCTTTGTCATTTACCGAATGTCATGACCAAAATTTCCTGCAAGATGGAGATAAAAGACCATTAAAATAAGATCCACGAGCTTTACCTGTGGATTACAAATCGAGAGAGAGAGAGAGGAATAAGAATTTATACTCTATAGCTCTCAACTTCCCACCCCACGTTGCAAACAGTACTTCGAAACTTCCCAATCACAAAACCAGAAAGCAAAACGTCAAAAGAAATATAATTGTATGCACAAACGGATTCAAAAGCCATCCACTCCTTAAGGTTCAAAAGAAGAATCAAGAATAATAAAGCAGACAAAAAAAAGGAAAGGCCATCAATTCTTTCTCATTTTGTTACCTCTTAGAGAGAGAAAGAGAAACTATTCCTGGGTGGAGCTGGAGGGCTCAGAAATCCCCTGACAGGCCTGGTAGGCCCTCTCTCTCTTTCCTCTTTTTTTCTTTACTTTAACAAATAGAAAAAAGGAGAAAAAAAAAGAAAAAAAAAAAAAGAAATAATAAAAAGAAAAAGAAATCTAGAAAGGGTAGGCGGGTATCTCAAACTCTATATAATTACACTCCACTCTCAATGGTTTCCAAGCCTCTGTAGGTCAAAACATAAGCAAAAGAAATCACGTTCTCCTCCTATCTTAACTCCAAAAAATATAAAAAACACAAAAAAAGGGCAAAAGAGAAATGATACGGTTTTAGGTAAGCGGCGACTCGCTCCCCCTATTAAATAGTGGTGAGTCGCAAATGCGTCTAGATTCAATGAATGTAGAGACACCTCACAATAATCAGTTATTTAGTTGAGTTCGTTCTTTTATCTCATTCTTGCATGCGTAGTCTTAGAATTATTATTATTATTTTGGGTATGTTTCTTAGAGCTATCTATTTTATTTTATTATATTACATGTTATTCAATCTTTATTTAATTATACAGCTGCATATAAGGTGCGAATTCGAGTCATGGAAGAGGCAGGGAGTGGGTTGCCCAGTATTAGGTATGTTTGTGTTGTGCATGAGAGAGAGAAAGAGAGAGGGAGAGATAGGGTCACAAGATTTCACATAAGAGAGGGAGAGATAGGGTCACAAGATTTCACATAAGAGGGGGAGAGATAGGGTCACAAGATTTCAAATATATGATTATAAGTAATTCTGACCTTCTTATATTAAAAATAAGTAATTTCATTATTATATATATATATATATATTTAATATCTTACAAATAAGAGAGCGAGAGAGACACTTTTTCTTGGAAAGAGCACCATTTGAAAAGCCGAGTTACTCGGGCTTGGGCCCTTGCCGAGACCGAGTTTTTATGAGATGGAGGTCTAACTTAGGGATCTTAATTTTTTTTAAAAAAATATCTCAAAAAATAAGAAATATAGTTGTAACATGTTTATTTATATTTTTCTATCATTTTGGCAAAGATTAGAAAGTATTTTGGCTATGAATACTTATTTTTATATTTTTCCCACCTTTTTAAAAAAATTGTGATAATATCCTCAATCACAAACTCATTTTTTAAAATCTATTTTTTGTTATTTTTTAAAAATACAGTTAGTTGTATTGTGTTAAAGTTTATTTTAAATATGTATTTTTTTATTTATTAGGACTTTTTATATGTTTTATTTTTCTAATAGTTTTCAACGGTTATAATACTCGACTCAAAGATAGTAACCGATTTACTCGGAATCGGGCGAGTAGTCAGTTGGGACATGTGCTGAGTAGCCCGCCTAAGTAGACTATTGGAACACTAAGAAAGAAGAGAGCGAGAGCGAGAGAGAGGCTGATTTTCTTGGAATATAAAATGGGTTTAGAGGTAGAAGTTTCTACATTGAGCGGCCAATTTTGCTCCAAATGTAATTGTCAAAAGAACATTTTATTACGTCGATGCAATGAATCGCTATTACGTGTCCTAGAATCGACATGATTGGAAAATAGATTGCTTTTATGCAACTGTATAGCTTTGGATATTTTTCGATTTGGAAGGTCAGTTATATTCGGAACGTCTTTTTCTTTTATCTAGTGAGGAATAAAAGAGAGGAAAATCATTTAAATGTTCACATCATCAATGAACAATTAAATAAACTTTCCAAACAAAGCAGATACTTTTTAAGAATTCATTCAGGTTCGTATTTTAAGAGTAGAATAGCATGATCCATATAGCCAGACTCTAGTTGGAAAAAGACTATGATGATCCATATTGTTATTTTTTAAAAAATTTTATTAAAAATGCTCATGTTGCCCTTGTTTAGGACATGTAACCATGAATAAGCGAGGGTGACCTGGTAATTTAATCCACTTACATCACATGATACATGATTCTCTTGGTGACTTTGGTGCCACTTAAGTAACATGAGCCCAAGATGTAAATACTCCTCCTTGTTTGGGTTTCAAACCCAAAATATGATATTCTATTTAACATCATAATTTGGAGTTGTAATGGAAACAAGGGGAGGTATTGAAGTCATTTTCTATAGGGGTTTTTAGTGTTTAAAATACATATTTGCCCTAAATTTGTCATGATTCCAAACCAGAAATAAGGGTAATTTGGGTGTTTTTTTAAAAAAATATTTCAGGTAGTACCTCAGTAAAATGATAAAAAAACTTACTATCTTGTTTATAAATCGGTAGATTTTACCCTGAAGATTTTTTAAGTGGTCTAACCATTTTATCGATATTTTTAAAAAACACAATTATGTTGCACAGGTTCTTGTGTGCCAAAGCATGGAGAGAACCGATCCAATTTTAGAAGGGCAAGTTTTCTATGCTTCTTTTACAACATAAAAGTTATATATTTCTCCTCATCCAATCGTTCATTTTGAATGGATGGCTGAGATGAACCCAATCATAATGTCATGTTTTTGCAATATTTTATTTTTAATTTTTTTACAAAATATTTTGATACGAAATTTTGGGCGTCCACTCCTCTCTTAAACTCTCACTTGTAAAAATATAAAAAATATTTTCAATAAAATAAAATAACTAAAATATCTTTGAAAATTTTAAGGGTATTTTAGTCATTATATTTTGTCGAAAATTTATGTGTTTTGTGGAGTGTTTTAAAATCTGAATCGATGGTTTAAATTGGTCACCCAATGGATCTAAAAAGTTGGCTTGCAACTGCCCAAGCCGGCTCTTGGTCCTCTAAAGATGTTTTTAAAGAAACATAAAAAAAATTGAAAAGAAACCCCCTTCCAAACCTGTGAAACACCAGGCAAAGGTTGAATTTTGTAGGCCCAGGTACCCCACTAGTTCCGAACCAGCTCCCTGATTTTCAATACACTGGATTTATTAAATTCTCATTCACAGGAAAAGAGTGGAAAACAATTGTTAAGTAGGTCTCCTTTTTCGGCCTTTTGATTTTGATGGCCTCTTTTTTAGAAATTGGATCCTTAATGTTCGAGAAAGTGTCTTGACTTGATCCCTAAACCGTATGCTCCTTAACCGGTCAACATTTTCTATTTGTTAATATTCCTGTGGAACCAGAGGAGTGATATTTTGGGGAAAATGTTTCTCCCAAAATATTATAGTTAAACTCAGTATTTAAAGTCCCGTGATTTCTAAGTTGGAAAAATTACAAATATATCTTTTGCGTTATTACAAAACTATCTAATAGTTTTTGTTAGTACCTATTTGTCTGTCTTTTTAATGTCATAACGAAAATTAAAAAAAAAGGAGCAATTTTATCCTTTTCCGGCTTTTCAACCACCGAATTCAGTGGATTTTCGGTTGTTCAACCACCTAAATCATGCGAATTTCTGTTTTTGAAAAACCAAAAATTAAAAATTTTCAGTTGTTGAGGAATCGAAAATATATTCCGTACGTACTCTGCGTATTCTATAGATTTTCCCTTTTTCAGTTGTTGACAACTAAATTCAATAGATTTTCTGTTGTTCAACAACCAAAATTTTAGATAACCATAAGAAAGAGTTTAAACCCTAAAGTAAAGAGAGAAACATAGGAGAGAAAATAGAAAAAAAATAGAGAAGAGTTTAAACCCACTCAAGGTATAGAGAAAATGGATAAACATCAGAGAGAGAATAGATTCATATATGAGAGAGTTTAAAGGGTAAAGAAGAGTTTAAACCCATCCAAGATAAGGTATAGAGAGAGAATGGATAAACATTAGGTGGGTTTAAACTCTTCTCTATCTTTTAAACTCTTCTATATGTTTATTTATTCTCTCTCTATACCTTAGATTGGGTGGGTTTAAACTCTTCTTATGTTTAAACTTTTCCTTATGTTTATCCATTCTCTCTCTACAATGATTAATCTACATAAATAAACATTGAGAAGAGTTTAAAAGGAAAAGATAAGTAAAGCGTAGGTGCAATAAAGGCATAGAGGATTTCCGTTCAAAATCCATTGAATTATGTTGTTTAACAACCCAAAAAAGAAAAATCCATAGAGAGCGAATAGGCAGAGTACCTAAGAAAAAAGATTTTGGTTATTGAAAAATACAAAATTTTGAATTTTCGGTTTTTCAGAAATCGAAATTGGTCCGATTTCGATTGTTAAACCACTGAAAATCCATTGAATTCGGTTGTTGAACAACCGAAAAAAGGTAAAATTACATTTTTTAAAAT